TAATACATGTCTTGTGGATGAAGGTTCACTTACATACAATGAATCCTGCTATCAATCCTTGAAGCCATGGCATCATCATGAAGAACAGAAACACACCTAAATCTTGCTTTATATACATGCTGAGAAAGTGTCTGATTAGAGAGCATGGGGGAGTTCATGTTAGGATCTAGATTTATGGCTTTGATTAAATGACTTTATACCTGTACAAACCTTAATATTATGAGCTCCTTTTTATCATAATAATGGATGAGACAAGAGTGTTCTTTGTGTTATTTGTCTTTGCTCTAAAGCAGGGGTCTCCAAACTTTCTAAACAAAGGGCCACATTACTGTCCTTCAGACTTTAGGGGGGCCGGACTGTGACTATGGGAAGTAGAAAATGCCCTGACATCAGTGGGAGTAAACAATGTGGAATTGAGCCCCCTTGTTGGTGTCATTGGGTGGGAAGAAAACATGCCCCATCATTGGTGTAATAGGGAGAAATTGTGCCCCATCATTGGTGTCAGTGGGAGAAATTGTGCCCCATCATTGGTGTCATTGGGAGAAATTGTGCCCCATCATTTGTGTCATTGGGAGGAACTGTGCCCCATTGTTAATGTCATTGAGAGGAATTGTGCTCCTTTGTTGGTTTTAGTGGAGGGAATTATGCCCCATTGTTGGTGTCTGAGGATGAAATATTGCCCCAAGGGCCAGATAAAGGCAAGCAAAATTGCAGACAATAGGGTGTGACTTGTCATGCCATTTGCAACTCGCTTGGCAAGTCGTGCCCAGTGTGACTGGGCACTAAAGCAGAATCCCCCATGTGATATGCCTGGAACAACTTGACAACGCCACTTGTGAAGTCACCACCACCCATTTCAAGGGCATTTCCTCTTCAGCATAAGGCAGCATGACCTCTTCAAGTATACTGATGTATTCAAACTGATCCATGATCCCTGGTATGAGATAAATAGGCCCAACACCATAGTATGAGAAACATCCCCATATCATGCTTCACTGTCTTCACAGTGTACTGTGGCTTGAATTCAGTGTTTGGGGGTCGTCTGACAAACTGTCTCCGGCCACTAGACCCAAAAAGAACAATCTTACTTTCATCAGTCCACAAAATGTTGCGCCATTTCTCTTTAGGCCAGTCAATGTGCTCTTTGGCAACTTGTAACCTCTTCAGCACATGTCTTTTTTTCAACAGTGGGACTTTGCGGGGGCTTCTTGCAGATAGCTTGGGTTCACATAGGCGTCTTCTAATTGTAACAGTACTCACAGGTAAATTTAGACCTTCTTTGATCTTCCTGAAGCTGATTGTTGGCTGAGTCCTTGCCATTTTGGCTATTCTTCTATCCATTTGAATGGTAGTTTTTCGCTTTCTTCCACGTCTTTCAGGTTTTGGTTGCCATTTTAAAGCATTTGCGATCATTTTAGCTGAGCAGCCTATCATTTTCTGCACTTCTTTATATGTTTTCCCCTCTCCAATCAACTTTTTAATCAAGGTATGCTGTTCTTCTGAACAATGTCTGGAACATCCCATTTTCCTCAGAATTTCAGAGTGAAATGCACTGTAACCAGCATGTACAACATTTGCTGCCTTCCTTCCTTAAATAAGGGCAATAATTGCCACCTGTTTTTCAAAGAATGAATGACCTCACTAATAGAACTCCACACTGCTATTAATTTGAACATGCCCCTTTCAATTAGTGATTCAATTAGACAGAATCAGCAGCATGCATGTCATGACTGTTGTGTCTGTTGGATTTCTATTACTCTACTACACCTGCTAGTAAATTATTTGCCATGTAGAAATATCATTTCTACCAAAAACAGTGATTGATCAGGTTAGTGATGTCTGACTGCTATTATTTTGAACACAACTGTATATATATATAATGTTTGGGGGTTTTAAGCACTTTTGTAGCAAAAATACTGATTTTTACATGAAGACAAAGATGTTAAAAATAGGCCCGGTGTGGAAGTGGATAATAACCAGAGGGAGATTGACAACACAAAGAGCAGAATCTAAAGCACGCATGGCGGTGGTGGGGAGGTACCTCTGTTTTAAGTTTGCACCCTGTGGCTACCAAAGCACTTCAGCAGCTGGGGCAGACCAGACTTTTAAGTGAAAACAAGACAGGTGCTTCTTGCAAACCTTTTGATTGTCCTGATGTATTACTCCTTTGGCAATCAAGGGGTTATTGTTTTATTCCCTTTGAACCTTTTTTTGTTTTAAGAAAATCAGTTTCCTGAACAAACGACAGATTGCAAAAGATAGCAGGACCAATCCCAAAAAATTCTTCAAATATATTAATAGTAAAAAGGTTTGGTCCGAGCATGTAGGCCCTTTACAAAATAACCTAGAGTGGGTGTCTGGGGACAAAGAGGGGGGCAAATTTATTACATACCTTCTTCAGCTCTGTGTATACAAAGGAGCATAGGGGAGCTCTTGTCCATAATGGGCATGGTATTGACACAACTCCAGATGATCCACATTGGCTCACAACTGATATGATCCAGAAATATTTAGACAGAATAAAGGTGAATAAAGCACCTGGACAGGATAGCATACACCCACGGGTCCTTAAAGAATTCAACTCTGTCATTTCAAAGCCATTGTTTCTAATTCTTAGGAACTCTTTAATGACTGACATAGTACCACTGGATTGGTGTAAGGCCAATGTGGTGCCAATATTTAAAAAGGGGTCAAAATCTTTACCAAGTAATTATAGACCTAGTAGTTTAACGTCTATAGTTGGAAAGATACTGTAGAGTTTAATAAAAGACCACATAGATGTGTTCTTGCTAGAAAAAAATATTTTAGACAACAGACAGCATGGATTCATTTGTGATTCATCAGATTTCATTCTGATTTCTTTTTATGAGGGGGTGAGCAAAACCTTGGACAGAGGGGTGGCTGATGACATGGCATACTTGGATTTTGCAAAAGCATTTGACACAGTTCCCCACACACGCCTAATGTGTAAGGTACAGGCTTGGAAAAATCCATATGTAAATGGTTAGAAAACTGGCTAAAAGTTTGTATTCAGAGAGTAGTGGTTAATGATTCATACTCTGAATGGTCTAGGGGCCTCAGTGGTGTACCCCAAGGTTCAGTGTTGGGACCCTTACTTTTTAATATATTTATAAGCAATATAGGGTTTGGGATTAAAAATCCCATTTCAGTCTTTGCAGATGACACCAAGCTGTGCAGTGGAATAACGTCCTTACAGGATGTCTCCAATTTACAAGCCGACCTCAATGCACTGTTTAATTGGGCAACTATGTGGCAAATGAGATGTTGATGTTAATGAGATGTTGATGTTAATGTTGATAAATGTAAGGTGATGCACTTGGGGGCTAAGAATATGCATGCATCATACATACTAGGGGAGTACAACTGGGGGAATCAATGATGAAGGATCTGGGAGTTCTGGTAGATCACAAGCTTAATAATGGCATGCAATGCCAAGCTGCGGTTTCTAAAGCGAGCAAAATCCTCTCTTGTATTAAAAGAGGTATAGACCCCAGAGAGAGAGCTATCATATTACCCCTGTACAAATCATTAGTAAGACATCATCTGGAATATGCAGTTCAGTTTTGGGCACCAATTCACAAAAAGAACATTGGGGAACTGGAGAAAGTACAGAGAAGGGCAAACAAACTGATAAGAGGCATGGAGGAGCTCAGCTATGAGGAAAGATTAGAGGAACTGAATTTATTCTCTCTTGAGAAGAGGAGATTAAGGGGGGATATGATCAACATGTATAAATACATCAGTGGTTCATATAGTGAACTCGGTGTAGAGCTATTCACCCTGAGGTCATCACAGAGGACAAGGCACCACTCTTTACATCCGCAGGAAAAGAAATTTAATCTCCAAACATGGAAAGGTTTCTTCACAGTGAGAGCTGTGAAAATGTGGAATAGACTCCCTCAAGAGTTGGTTCTGGCCAGCTCAGTGGATTGCTTTAAAAAAGTCCTGGATTCTTTCTTGGATACACAGAATATAACTGGATACTAACATTTATAGGTAAAGTTGATCCAGGGAATATCCGATTGTCTCTCAGGGGATCAGGAAGGAATTTTTTTCCCAGCAGGTGCAAATTGGATCATGCTTTGCTGGGGGTTTTTTTTGCCTTCCTCTGGATCAACTGTGGGTATAGGATAATAACTTTTTTTTTTTTTTAATCGTTGAACTGGATGGACTGTTGTCTTTTTTCAGCCAGGCTAACTTTGTAACTATGTAACGAACTGATGATGTAGAAAAAAAAATACAATATGTAAAGATGTTCTTAAAAACTTGCATCCTGGTGGATATTTCCCATTGCTTTCATTAACTAATTACAAAACATTACTGTATCTTTTTATTGATATGAAAATATATATAAAACAAAAAAAAAATTGAAATGGTGCAGTATAAACTACAAGGTCTCCACATCCAGTGCAGAGCAGTGCAAACTGTAACCAGCAGCAATAACATTGTTAGCCAGACTGGTTAACATCTATTAAAGTGTTACTAAACCCACAACAGTAATATCAGTCTGTATATGCAGTAAAGCATGCTTGTTATACTCACTGTGGAACCTAAGAGGTTAATCCTCTGCATTGTGTAAAAAGGCTGTTTGGTCCTGACTCTGATCCTCCCTTTCTTCTAGTGTCCCCCTCTTATCTCCTGATAAAATATATCATGTGGAGTCACTCTGCACATGCTCAGTTTATTGTGTATTGCTAGAGTTTTTTTTCCTTGGGAGACTGCATGTAATCAGCACTGTCCAGACAGAGGTCAGGGGTTCTGCACCCTCTTACATCAAAATGAAAACTCCTCCTACAAACTTTAACAAGTGCTCAGCTGGACACTGATATGTCACAAGCAGTTTTTATATTTACTAAAATAATTGCATTTCCATGTTCTGTGTACTGTGGGAGACCAGATAGAGTAAATGCAAGGTCCTGGGGATTAGTAACACTTTAAAAAATCCTTAGTCAATCTATAATACTGTTGTAGGGCTGTTGTCAAAAATCATCATGAAGTTCTGTTAAAATCTTCAAATTTACAGCCTGCAAAGAAAAAAAAAGTGTACACATTTCAAAAAATGTTTCAATACCTGCAAGTCGCTGTGAAATACTTCTGAAAACAAATCTGCAAAAAAAGTACATTATGGGGGTTGATTTACTAAAGGCAAATAGGCTATGCACTCCAAGTGCACTAAAAAGTGATCTGAGGGGAACATGCAAGGAAAATAAAAAGACAGTGTTTTTTGCTTGCTCATGATTGGATGAGCAGAGCTTCGCCTCGTTTCAGAGCTTCTCCTCGGATCTAAAGCAACTGCACTTGCAGTGCACAGTATGTTTACCTTTAGTAAATTAACCCTACTGTGTAATATTGGTGATAGTTACACTAATATATATGAAGTAGACAAGTACATAAAATACGGTTCCATGAAACTTACAGGTCCCCCACCACTCCATGACTGGACAGTGAAAGGAGAAGCATTGCCCTAATCATCTTATCTCTCTGGCACTCTGTTTGTCTCCGTGAAGGAGAACAACAAAAGAGAAGCGCACCAACCTTGCGCATTACCTCAGTAACCAAAAATTTATTGAATAAAAGAATGGTACTCACAAACAGCGAATAAAAACAAGCATGTAAGTCCTCAAGGGGACTTTAAAGGCAAGATGCCAATGCGAATCCCGTCATGGAGGAAGCCACTCAGTACAGCTGACGCGTTTCGAAGGACGTGCCTTCTTCCTCAGAGCTCTATTATTTTAAGAAGGCATTATTTTTAAAATAATCGAATTTTGTCATAAATTTAGGCCGAAATGTATTCTGCTACATGTCTTTGCTAAAAAATAATCCCAATAAGTGTATATTAATTGGTTTACATGAAAGGTATAGCGTCTACAAATGGCGGTATATATACTGGTATTTTATTAAATGTTTTTTTTGTTTTTATACTAGTAATGGCGGCGATATAGCGGGACTGCGGCAGGCATTCTGAAACTGGGTGGGAACTGACTAACTGCCACTCACATTCCCAGTGACACTATTACAATGATCAGTGCTAATAAAAAGCACTGACACTGTACTTATGACACTGGGCAGGAAGGGGTTAACATCTGGGGCGACCAAAGGGGTTAACTATTTGCTGTGTGTGTTTTACATTTTGTGCTCTTTTACTTGGGAAACATGGTGCTTTGTATCTCTCTGCTGTGCAGAGAAATACAAAGCAGCATGTCCATGCTGACAGCAGGGAGACCTGTGTTTTTTCAGCTTTGCCGACTATCACCTAGTGGCGACCGGGAATCGCCAGCTGGGACCCGGTGATTGACATATCTTGCCTCAAATAGTGGTGCAGATAGGGCAGTGCGTGCGTCCCCTACCCAGAAATGGGGAATGGCCAGTAGTTAATGTAACGTGTGTAAGTACCTGAACTAGCCTACTGGAATTCCCTATACAGCAGCACACAGACTGGGAGAGGGGGAGGAACAGTACTAGATGCCAATCAGGCACTGCTGCATGCACACATGTCAACAGTAAACATGAACAGGGGGATGACTCATAAGTGTGCTTCACCTCCCTTCGTGTGTGGGTTGCATTTCTTGACTAAGGCTGGCCATACATTATACAATTTTCTTTAGAATTTTGCTTTAGATTTACCAAAAACCATATAATATGAGGTTAAACCTAAACAATACTTTCAATTGTATCCACTTAGGCAGGCCCCTGCACTACATAGTTGCAGGTAAATCTAAAGGATATTGGGCAGAAAATTGTATAGTGTATGGCCAGCCTTAGCCACAATGGAGCTCAAGGACCTAGCTGAATTCCAAGACTGGTCGAGTAAAATTACAAATCCTGTGACACTCAAACCAGTTTCTTGCTATGTATCTAATTATGTATTTGCCTGGTGCTCTGTTAAAGTTAACCTGAAGTCAGATAGTGACTAGAGCTGGTCCATGCATCTGCCCCAGTTCTAAAACCCCCTCTGCACCACTAATGTTTACTTGTTAGCTGCAGTGGACTCCTGGTGTAATCAGTCACGGTCCTCCGCTTCCATCTTTGCAGCAACCTTATGTCAGACACATGCACCGATTGCCTCTGATGCAGTCAGGGGAACTGGCAAAACTGGTCAGGCCAACATGTCTACAACAGGCCTAGTCCAGAGAAAGAATCTATGCTGAAGAGGATACGTATACTGCTGACATTGCAAACTCTGCAAATATCTTCTATTGCTTGGACTCGTGTATGTGCAGCCAGTGGTGTATTTACAAACAAGGTATTTGCCTAGGGCGGCATTTTTCAGGGTGGGGGGGCAGCACTGTCCCTTGGAAGAAGGGATGGAAGAATGACACACGCGGCATGCCTGGTGGGTTCCAAGAAATGCTGTGGGTTTCATGACGGTGTATGAACAGCCCGACTCTCGTTCCTGGGGATGTCTGGAGCTGTGAAGGACTTTCTCTCCTCTCACCATGGGGGATGGTGGCTGGTGTATACTGGGGATGGTGGCAGTGGTAGTGGAAGGCTCGGCTGGAGGACAAGGGTGTTCTTGGTCAATGTCAGGCTCTTTCTGCCAATTGTTGTGTTGCCTAGGGCAGCACAAAATCTGAATACACCACTGTGTGCAGCATTGACCTTTTTCCATCTGGATATGCCATATCTGGGACTTTTCTTTCTCTGCCTTGATTTAAAAGCTGGTCATCTTTAGTGCTTGAGGAAGACTCTCATAGGTCACGTTGGTGTGTGAGGGACAATGCACTTGGAAGGATACTATTGTACTGATACAAGTGGAGTATAAGTCGTAATCATATTTTCCTTGTGCTCTCCGCTAGACCATTCTCTCTAAATAGTAAGTTGACTATGCTCTGAGTCAAACATCACATTATTGGATTTCATTGACAGGTCACTCATTAATTGGGACCTTTATGTCCTCATGTATGTTGGGCATTTTGCTAACGTTGGTAACGTGAGTTTTTCAGCTTTTTTTTAGCATTTTTGCATTGGTGTTTTGCTGCGTTTAGTGTGTGTTTTCCCTTTTTTTTTTTTTTTTAGCGCTTTTTTTTACCAAAAAACATTTTTTTTGGTAAAAAAAAAAGTCCAAAAACACTGGTTTGCGGTGGTTTACCGCATTTTACCGTGTTTTTCAGCGTTACAGCATTTGTACAGCTAAAAAACTCCTCTAGTAACCCACTGGTCCTGGGGGTTTTTTCCAGCCAAAAAACGTTGATTACAGTCTATGTGCGCATTGGACACATAGGATAACATGGTGGGGGGTTTACTAGCTGTAGAAAAAAAACATCAAAAGCCAAAAACAACAGCTGTAAAAATGTAGAGTGTGCATGAGGACCAAGTCATTGGCCTATACACAAGCCTGGGACTTTATGATCAATAAGATCACACACTAATTTATAAGTGTATGTTCAACTACATATGAGAAAGAGATTCCGAAGATTTGGTTCACATATATGCATTTTGCATTTGATGCCTTCTCCAATGCTTTTTGCAGTTTGTTTAGCATTTTTCTACATGCATTTTTGACGCATTTTTTCTGCGTTTTGCATTTTGTTCAGCTTTTCTTTTGGAATTTTTTTTGTTGCTGGACAGAATAAAAATGCAAAACACTGCAAAAACGAAGCAAAAACGCACTACTACGCATTTCAGCAGCTTCTCAATTGAACGCTAGCAAAAATGCTGCTTTCTTGCTTTAACTGCTTTCCCGCCGCTCCATAGCAGAAATACTGTTACAGGGCGGCAGGGGTGCGCAAACTCACATATATATACGTGATTTTGCATTTCCAGGTAGGGGGCATGTTACCTACCAGCGCAGATATTCGCGGCCTCGGCTGTCAATCACCGGGTCCCGGCTGGTGATTACTCACCGGCAATCGGTGATCGCCGGGTATTACCGACGGGGGAGAGAACTGTATGTAAACAATACAGTTCTCTCCCTGTCAGCTCCTGCACACTGCTTTGTATGGCTCTGCATAGCAGAGCCATACAAAGCACTGTGCTTACAGTTGAAAGCACACACACAGCTTTCTGTGAAACAGCACACAGTTAACCCTTTGATCACCCCACATGTTAACCCCTTCCTGCCGAGTGCCATTAGTACAGTGACAGTGGTTTTTTTAAGCACTGATCACTGTATTGGTGTCCCTGGGGATGTCAGTGACACCAAGTCAGTTCCTTCCAGTGTCAGAATGCCCACCGCAGTCCCACAGTCCCGCTATAAGTCGCTGATTACTAGTGAAAAAAAAAAATCCAGTATATATACCGCCATTTTTAAACTCTATAACTTTCACGTAAACCAATTAATTTACATGTATTGAAATTTTTTTAATAGCAAAGACATGTCGCAGAATACATTTTGGCCTACATTTATGAAATAAATGTATTAGTGGGAAATAAAGGACGTAAATTTCATTTGGATGCATGACCACACAATTGTCAGATAAAGTAACGCAGAGCCGTAATGCAAAAAATGGCCTGGTCAGGAAGGGGGGTAAATCCTCTGGAGGGCAAGTGGTTAAGAAAAGTTCCTGACCCTTTCCAAAAATGCAGCAGCTCAAAAAAGCATAGATGTGAACATGTTCCAAAAGAAATCATGTTCTGTAGTACGTTTCTACAAAAAGCACTAAAAAACGCATCGGTGTGATTGGAGCCGTAGACCTAGTGATCCTTTCATCAGTACATCTGGGTCATAAATAGACATATATTCTGTTGCCTTTTTATCTCAGCTAATTCAGGACGTCCTTCCTGAATTTCAGTCTGAACATAATCACACAGAATGGACACAGCGATGTGGTATAGATTTTAAGTTGTCTTTTTTTTTATATATATATATATATATATATATATATATATATATATATATATATACACATACACACACACACACACACAGAGTGAAGGAAATAAGTATTTGATCCCCTGCTGATTATGAATGTTTGCTCACTCACAAAGAAATGATCAGTCTAAAAATCGAATGGTAGGTGTATTGTAACACTGAGAGACAGAATAGCAGCAAAAAATTCTAAAGAAATGCACGTCTAACAAATTATGCACTGAATTGCATGTTCATGATGGAAATAAGTATTTGATCCCCTATCATTCAGCAGGTTTTCTGGCTACCAGGTGTCTTTCATACAGGTAACAAGCTGAGATTAGAAGCAGTCTCTTAAAAGGAGTGCTGCTAATCTCATTTTGTTACCTTTATAAAAGACACCTGTCTACAGGAGCAATTAAACAATCAGATTCCAAACTCTCTACCATGGTAAAGACCAAAGAGCTGTCCAAGGATGTCAGAGACAAGATTGCAGACCTACACAAGGCTGGACTGAGCTACCAAACTATCGCCAAGCAGCTTGGTGAGAAGGTGACAACAGTTAGTGCAATCCTTCACAAATGGAAGAAAAACAAAACGACTGTCAGTCTCCCTTGGTCTGGTGCACCATGCAAGATCTCACCTTGTGGAGTGTCAATGATCATGAGAAGAGAACAGTGAGGAATCATCCCAGAACTACACTTGAGGATCTTGTCAATGATCTCCAGGCAGCTGGGACCACAGTCACCAAGAAAACAATTGGTAACACACTATGCCGACAAGGATTGAAATCCTGCAGTGCCTGCAAGGTCCCTTTGCTCAAGAAAACACATGTACAGGCCCGTCTGAAATTTGCCACTGAACATTTGAGTGATGAGGAGGACTGGTTGAAAGTGTTGTGGTCAGATGAGAACAAAATCGAGCTCTTTGGCACCAACTTAACTTGCCGTGTTTGGAGGAGGAGGAATGCTGCCTACGACCTCAAGAACACCATCCCAACGGTCAACCATGGTGGTGGAAACATTCTGCTTTGGGGCTGTTTTTCTGTTAAGGGGACAGGACAACTGCAACACATCAAAGGGATGATGGACGGGGCAATGTAATGTCAAATCTTGGGTGAGAACCTTCTTCCCTCAGCCAGGGCATTGAAAATGGGTCGTGGATGAGTGTCTTTTCCAGCATGACAATGACCCAAAACACACGGCCAAGGCAACAAAGGAGTGGTTCAAGAAGAAGCACCTTAAGGTCCTGGAGTGTCCTAGCCATTCTCCAGACCTTAATGTGATTAAAAATCTGTGGAGAGAGCTGAAAGTTCGAGTTGCCAAATGTCAGCCACCAAACCTTAATGACTTGGAGAGGATCTGCCAAGAGGAGTGGGCCAAAATCCCTCCTGAGATGTGTGCAAACCTGGTGGCCAACTACTGGAAACGTCTGACCTCTGTGATTCCCAACAAGGGATTTGCCACCAGGTACTAAGACATGTTTTGTGAAGGGGATTAAATACTTATTTCCCTCATGAACATGCAGATCAGTGCATAATTTGTTAGACATGCACTTCTTTTGAATTTTTTGTTGCTATTCTGTCTTTGTGTTACAATCAATACACCTACCATTCGATTTTTAGACTGATCATTTCTTTGTGAGTGAGCAAACATTCAAAATCAGCACGACATCAAATACTTATTTCCTTCACTGTATGTGTATATATATATATATATCTCATGACAGAGGGAGTCTGTCGCTGCGAGAATATAGGAAAATGTAGCACAGGATTTGCATTTAGGGTTAATGCAAAGTTCCAGATTGCTGTTTCTGAGCAGAGAAAGCTGTGTTTTTGGCTTTCTCTGGATTCCGTGAAACTGAGTCGGAACTTTCAATCCTGTGTCTGGGTTTCTGACAGATGCCTGTAACCCGTCTGAGTGCACAGGTGTACAGGATTGTTATATAGACAGGTCTGAGGAAAGCTCAGGGCTGTAGTCAGTTTGGAGACTGCTCACAGTGTGGGAGATGGAAGGGCTCCCTGGGGTTAGGGTGCCCTGGCCAGGAGCCAAGAGTCAGCATCTCACTGAGGGGACAGTGGTGCCCCAGCCACAAACCAAGAGACAGAGGGTCTCACGAGGGGTCAGAGGTGCCCCAGTCCAGAGACAGCAGGTCTCAGTTCCAGGAGTCAGGTTGGCTCCTATCAGGGGTGTCAGGAGAACATAATCCATAGGCCAGAGAAGGGCTATGCAACAGGGTGCTGTGACTAAAGGCTAAAGAGCCAAACATTCCAGGTGAACCAGAAAACACAGTTAAAGGGACTGGTGAGAGCAGCAGCAGTGTTGCCAACAAGTGAGCCAGGTGGCTTGGCATTTTTGTTCACCTGTGAACTTTGCTTCTTTTTTTATTATTTTTTTTCTATGGTTTTTGCTAGTGACTTCCTTTTGGTTTTCTTCCCCCTTCCTTCTGTAATTCTTTCTAGGGGAGCTAAACTCAATGATTTTTTTAGGTCTACTTTAGTAAAGATAAAATATAAATCCTCACCAAACTGTGGTTTAAGAAAGATGCTAGTGGGCTAAATCAACCAATACTTTGTATGTCTTTATGAAACTACTGTATAAGTTGGGCATTGTAAGATGCAGTTACTGTCCCTTTAGGCTTATTCACATATTTCGGTAAGGAGAATGTGACAGAAAAATTGTGACTAGGGCACAGTAAGACGGAAGTGGGAACAGGAGCCAGAATTCTACTATGGTTCCTGAAATAAATAAGAATCCAGTGCGTACACTTTGTTTTTAAAATTATGATAAGTCAGTAGTAAAATGGATATGAACTTTAAAAGTAAAGGTTTCCTATGTTAAGAAAAATGTTTACTGTCCCTAAACAGTACCCTGACAAATATACCTTTTGTCTGAAATTCCTCCTAATAAATAGCCATGTGCTTGCAGGTCTGTGTTGGCTCCTAGGCCTTTTCAGTTCCTACAGCCTAATAGCTATATAGCGAATATCTGAGATTGAAGACACTGTTAGTTCTAACTGTTATTCTTGTGAGATTTGGTGATACCACTACTGGGCTGCTCACTATTATCTTTACTGGAAGCTCTGACATGAGGAAGCAAAGCCTTGCCTTTAACAAGATGGTCACCTCCACACAGGAATGGTATGGCATCTTTTAGGGAACCCGCTGACAATACCCATCAGTCTTGTTCTCTGCTTGTATGTACATCCTTCAGAGTTTAGTTCCAAAGTGTTACAAATGGCCTTTTAGGGAGTTTCCCCATTACTTTTTGTCCCAAAGACACAAAAAGAAGTGAGAGGAAATTTCTTCAAGACAAGGGGAATTCCCCTCTTGGGCAGCTGTTATCAGAACAGATGTCCCGTTAGAAGATTTCAACTTTATTTCTAAACCGCACATATCAGTTGTGACCAGAATAAAACCCTGACCTAAACCTGATCTAAATCTGTCCTGATGTAAAGCTTACCTGGATCACTGAACAACTACTATATCTATCTGCACGTGTGAATCAGCACTTAAGAAGTTTGTTATAAAAAATGTTTGTTCACACTCAAAACATCATTGCATGGACATACTCCTCTTTCAGTCTATACCAACCTGAAAAATCTCTGATGAATGTTAGGAAATAGGTAACAAAGCCAAAAGCTACGATCCATTCACAAACAGCACTTGCTTGGTGATAAGGGGACAGCTAGAGAAGGAAAGGAGAGTGAGAGAGGGGACATTTGCATCAACAAATATACAGTATGTATAATTTTCATGAAAATGAAGAGCTATTCTTGTTTTTGTCAAACTGAAGTTATTTTATGGTCTTTATTTCCAAAACAACCTTAGTTCATAACACCAGGAGGCCTTAGTTCATAACAATAGGAGGCTTAAGTGGAAATATGTTTTGCTTTTTTTTTTCTCTGGATTTTTAACTATTTAGAAACCCTTTTTAGGCCCCTTTCAGATGGGCAGATCTATCAGTGGGATCCACCTGCTCAGCGGGGGATCTCTCTGCAGAGAGGATGATAGGTCTCTGTCTGATCTTCTCCTGCAGAGTGGACACAGACACTGCCTGCTGATTTCAATGGGACGGTCGGATGGAAATGGATCGCCTGTCTGTTTCCACCCGATTGTCATTCGATTTCAATTCCAATGCGTCTGTTTTTGGCGTACAGGATCGTATCAGATGCCGGCGGGTGTTAGTGGACTATTGTCCACTAACACCTGCCGGTCCATAGAAGTCTATAGATGAACCGATTGGGTCCGCCTAAAAAAAACAGACAAACGGACCCCATTGGTCCGCTTGTGTGAATGGGGCCTTACAGCATTAATTTCCTTTATTTTATTATTTTTGTTTTCAAACATATATTATGTATTTATAGAACAACAATTTAAATCTAAGGATAAAGCTTGTAGTTTTCCCCTACTTTAAACTGATGAAAATGACTGTCTTTGATACCAACCACAGTAAAACATGTCCCCACTTTCAGGGCACCATAGGAGAGTAAGCTAATGTTTTACATGTTTTATTACCAGTTTATACAAGAAAAATACAGTGATAACTGTATATTTCATCAACCTTTTCTCCATACTTCAGGTCCTATTGTTTCAGTTTCACACTTTATTAATCAATTTATTGATCATAAATGATCAAACAGGTAAAAGAAATTCTAGAGAAGAAAAAAAGTAGTAAAGAGAACCTCTTTCATTAATAAAAAAAAAACTGATTCCTTGAATACGTCACAGCAATTATATTCTGTAGTTCTTAAATAAGTATTACTATTATTATTTTGGAAGAGGCACTGCTGAAAAAGGGCCATCTCCCCGATTTGCTGATAAAAGAACAAAATGAGCAACAGCACCACCACCCTGTTCAAGTGACTGTGTTTACAGGTGACATTTAGTCCAAAGGCTTTTCTCCACTGGCTTGAAGAGAACCTGTTTTAACAAAAAATATTAAATGTACATTTTTTTCCAGGTAAAAAAAAAATGTGCATTTATTATTTTTTGTATCTGGACCCTCCAAAGCAGTGCACCAGTGATCAGCAGATTGCGGGTGCCATGCAGGTCTTCTGCTGACCTGTCAGTGTATCTGTCTGCTCATACATTGTATAGGCAGGCACATACAGTATTTACTGACAGGAAGACTCAATTAACTACCACAGCGCTCCACAGCATCGTGGTAGTTCATTGAACACTACAAGCTGACGACCACAAAGGTGTCCTGGAGCCCCACATGGTTTGTGTGTTTTTTTGTGTTTTTTTTTTTTAATCCTGACCGCTAGGAGGGGCAAATAATAACATCTCACACCACCCCCCTTTTATCTTCTGTATAAAATAGAATGTAATAATACATTTTGTCAGAACGGATACTTTAGACCACTGTGATTGTGTCCTGTGAATCTGTTCCTGCAATTGCAGTATTAAACTTTTATTTTCAGTGTCTCAGCCAGAAATCTTCCATTACAACATGTTTCATGTTATACCCTGACTATGGGTGTAACAAGGTATGATAGGAGAACTTAAAGCGGAGTTCCAGCTGAAAAAAAAAAGGCAGCAGCTACAAAAACTGTAGCTGCTGACTTTTAAAGTACAGTCACTTACCTGTCCCTCAGTCCAGCAGTGGCCTCACCATAGCTGGTTTCACCGGCCATCTTCTCTCCCTGGCGCCGGCATCTTCAGTGTGGGCACCTGGCTGTGACAGCTTGCAGCTTCACTGCCAGGTGCCCATTACACATGCGTGAGAAGCACTGCGCTTTGTGAATGGCCCCGTAGTCTTCTGGGACCTGTCACGTGTCCCAGAAAACTACGGGGAGGACAACTTCCGCTTCCGATTGCCTAGGCGATCGCAGTGGAAGTGGGAGTGGATACTTGTCAAATTCGGGTACCCACTCCCCAAAGGTGCCAATCCTTAGTGGGGAGCGGGGAACAAAGCATTAAAGTGGAACTTCCCCTTTTGGGTGGAACTCCTCTTTAACCTTTAATATCAACAGTATTGCCTTCTTGCTGTTCTCTTTTTTTCTATGACACTTCCTACCCTGTCCTGTGCTGCTACATCACATACTGTCAGTACCAGTGTAAAGATAGCAGTTGCTGCAGCTGGCTGGTCTGTAGGCGTGTAGGCAGAGGGGGGTGTCAGCACAAGTCTGTCCATTGGTGGACAGGCAGACTGTTCTCCCAGAACAGCCAGAAAACTGACCACACTGGGATGGATGCGCTTCTTTGCCTAGCATGTTCAGTTTGAAATAGGAAATCAGGGAACTGGTAGGAACACCAGTGATTGTGTACAAAGGAAGCAATACAAAGTAAGCTCTAACGAGCAGGGCCCTCTGGTTCCTCTTGTACCAAATTGTATTGTAACTGTAATGTTTACCTTCATTTTGTAAAACGCTGCACAAACTGATAAATCCTGTATAATAATAATAATAATAATAACAGGATACTTTTTAACACAAGTACATGCTACAACAGACACATATTTGGAATATGAAATGTTTGGTAACAAACCTTTAATGTTAATGCTTACTAAATACAGATACACACCTCTTCATCAGGCTCACATTTAAATGTCCCAATGCCAACTAAGGATGCACATATAATCACTGTTACGTGTAGCAACTAAGGAACAATACAGAAGAACGAGTGTTTCTTATGCATACACAGAAAATGTTCTAGGCAATCTGTCAAGATAGAAATGTTAATGTTACCATTTCTGTCTTATATAGCTGCAAGGTCAGGGCTTGCCATCTGTATCCTGGATTCACTACTTAGTGAGATCCCTGACACTGATCATATATGTAGGAACAGACTGCTGCAGTTCATGTGTGGGCAAGTGTGAATGGGCCCAAAAAATAAACAACCAGGATACCAATCCCATTCAGCCATTTGATGAAAGTTAACCTCAAAAGCACCCATGTAAAATTTGACTGGACCTTAGATGGACAAAGTCATTGGTGGAAATGAGGCATAGATGGATTTTTGTCTTCTTGGGTTAGGTTCAGGAGCACCACCCCAAGCTGTGGTGGGAGAGGGTGGAAAATAAAATAGCTTTTTTATAGGATTTGTTTTCCTTTTTTTCAGCATACAGTATAATACATTTGTGGTGATATCCTTTAACCCTTTCATGCTGACGTAACACAAATATGTGGCCTCACAGAACTGGGCTTTTTTCTGTGGGGCCACATATTTGCGCACCTGTCTTTGTGCTGTTAGTGCACCGCACAGCACGGTCCCAGCACAAAGACCGCAGTATCACTGAGAGCACCGGGTCCCGTTCTAACGATTGGGACCCGGGACTCCCGATTCTGGGTCACGTGATCGCTGTGATAGCCTCTGATTGGCTATCACAGTGATCAGTCACTGTACAGCCCGGCCCCCTTGTTTTTTTCTCTCTCTATGAATGGAGGAGAGAGATACATTCTCTCTCTCTAAGTCCTGGCATAGAGGGGGAAAAAATGTTTGTAAAAAAAGTAAATAAAAAAAAATAAAAGATAAATAAATATTACAAAATACAGAAAAAAATACCTAGATCAAGGTTTGATCTAGTTCAGTGCCAGGGTTAGTGTTTTGGTCAAGGTCAGGGTCAAAGGTCAGGATTAAAAAAAAAAAATTGGTGTCAGTTAGTGTCAGTGTGTTTTAGGTAAAAAAAAAGACAAAAACAAAATGTGCACTATTGTTTCTGGGCTGTCCTGTGGGTACAAACAACAAATAACAGACACATATATGGTATTGCTGAGATCATCAAGAGCTGGAGAATTTTGTGTTGTTCTTTGGTGGTAGGTTATGATAATAACAAGAAACACACAGCTAAATAAATACAAAATGATTTTTTTTACTATTTTGGACCAGTTTTCCTTTGATAGTAAAAAAAAAAAAAAATCAGGAGATATCCATTACCATTTACCACCAAATGAAAGCCCAATCTGTCCTGAAAAAAAAACAAGATATAATTCACCTGGGTGTACAAAGTAGTTGTGATGATATGTACGGTTTTACTAACACATGGCAACGTTGCAAAATTGTGCTTAGGCATTTAGATTTGTTTTACCCTTAGGCGTGTAGGGGTTCATAATCAAATGTATGTGTTAGAAATCCTTTTCTTTTACATACATGTGAATAGAATTCTTTTATAAAAGTATCAATGAGTATTAATATTCACATCCTTCTCCAAAGGTTGCCCCTGGTATATCATTGGTAGAAATGAGGCATGGATGGATTTTTGTCTTCTTGGGTTAGCTGACCCCATTCAGGTTCAGGAGCACCATCCCAAGCTGTGCAAGATGGGAGAGGATGGAAAATAAAATAGCTTTTTTTTTTATAGGATTTGTTTTTCCTTTTTTAGCATACAGTATAATACATGTGTGGTGATATCTTTTAATAATCAAATGTATGTGTTAGAACTCCTTTTCTTTTACATACATGTGAATAGAATTAGATATCCAAATAGTAAAATGTCCTTCTTTTATCATAGGATCAATGAGTATTAATATTCACATCCATCACATCCTTCTCCAAAGGTTTCCCCCGGTAATTTTCAGGGCTTCTGTTCCCACAGCAAAATGAGAAAAGTATTACGGGGGGAGACATTTCTTAACTGTTAGAAATTAGTTTAAGGGTTGGATTTGTGTTAGGGTCAAGGGTTAGGGGTCAGTTTAGATGATAAGTCTAAAATTAGAGTTAATGATAAGTTTTAAGTAATCTGTTATTGTTATTGTGTTTGGGTGTGTTCGTTTGCTCATTTTAGAGGTTAGAGTAAGTGTGAAGGAGAAGGGTGAAAGTTAAGTGTTAGGGTCAGATTAAGGTTTAGATTAAATGAGAGGTAATTTTCCACACTTATAACTATACCTATAATGGATATTGCATTCATTTGTTAATGCAAATCAAGCAATGAGAGAAGAAAAAACAAAGCAATTGCTACAGTAGAGTAGAGAAAGTAACTCCTATTAAAGTGGAACTACACTGCATTTAACCAATTCAATACCGGGCAATTTTACACCTTCCTGCCCAGGCCAGTTTTCAGGTTTCAGCGCTGTCACACTTTGAATGACAATTGAATGTTATACAACATTGTACCCAAACTAAAATTTTATCATTTTCTTCACACAACTAGAGCTTTCTTTTGGTGGTATTTAATCACCGCTGGGGGTTTTATTTTTTGCTAAATTAACAAAAAAAAAAGACCAAAAATAAAAAAAAAAAAAAAGGTTTTCTTTGTTTCTGTTATAAAAGTTTGCAAATAAATAATTGTTCTTTATAAATTTAGGCCCAGATGTATTCTGCTACATGTCTTTGGTGAAAATAACCCAAATTAGGATTGTATTATTTAGTTTGTAGGAAAGTTATAGAGTTCACAAACTATGGTATAGATCTGAATATTGACCAATCCTGAAGTACTGACAGCCAATCTAATTTCTAGAGGTCCAAGAATGTCAGAACAGTACAGATATCCCCCAAATTACCCCTTTTTGCAAAGCAGACAGTCCGACGTACTTCATAAGAGGCATGGCGAGTTTTTTGAAGTTGTATTTTTTTTTTGTCATAATTTTTCGGAAAATTAAAAAAATTAGTTTCACTATTTTTTTTTTACATATTGTCACCAGTCCAGTACAGCATCGTCATATAACTGGCATGGCGGTGATCAGGGACACTGACTGGTGACAGTATGAAAAAAAAAAAAATATATATATATATATATTTTTTTCTTTTTATTAAATGTTTTCTTTTTTTTAAGATTTTTTTTTCATATTTCACTATGACCAAAGTAGTACAATGTTACCATAGTAACATTGTACTACTTTGGGGAAGTGATCAGTATTTTTTTTTTTTTTTTTTACACAATTTGCTTAAAGCAAAGAATTACTTTGCTATAAGCAAGCATTTACCTGAATGACATTGATTCATTCAGGGTTTTTTTTTTTTTTTGTGCTTAGCTGTGATTTGGCCACAGCTAATCACATGACATGTGCATGTGATTAGCTGTGACCATTCACAGCTAGACACTAGTATACAATGGATGGCATGAATGAAGCCATCCATTGTATACAACTGTCATTGGTCATTGTGATTAGTCACAGCAGGTCACATGGTACCGGCAATGGGGCCGATACTCAGATCTGTCATCGGCCGTGTCCGAGGTACACGGCCGGTGAAAAATCGCGCCGCTGAGCCGCTCTGCAGGAGCGCAATCTGCGCATGTGCAGGAGGACACCATATGGCGTCCACCCGGAACGCTGATGACATTTGCCGCCCACCATTCGGGTGGCAAATGGTTAAGCACCACAAACCAAAAACGCTATTTAATTCATTTTTAGCCACCTCCCACCCACCATATAGTACAATGACGGGCGCAAGATGGTTCTCTCGTTCTGGGAGGATGTCATATGACATCCTCCCATTCTCACCGCGCATGCACGACTTAGGGAGCGTGCAGTGTGGCGATCGGTGGTGCGCTGTGTCCCTCGAACACAGCGGATCACCGATCCATGGAAAGAGCCAAAGATGACGGCTCGGTCATGTGATCAGCTGTGTCCAATCACAGCTGATCACATGTAAACAGGGAAATGCTGGTTATTGGCATTTCTCTCCTCTCGAGCTGTCATGCTGACAGCTCGAGAGGAGAGCAGAGCCGGTAATCGGCATTCCTCGGAAGGGACATGTACACTGATCATCAGAGCGCTGATGATCAGTGTACCCTGATGATCTGTGCAGCCCCAGCAGTGCCATCTGTCAGTGTCCATCAGTCCCAGCTGTCAGTGCTCATCAGTGCCACGTGCCGGTGCCCATCAGTGCCACATCAATGCCACATATCAGTGCGTACCAGTGCACATCAATGCCACATATAAGTGCCCATCTGAGCTGCCTTTCAGTGCCGCCTATCAGTGCCAATCAGTGCCGCCTATCAGTGCTAGTCAGTGCCGCCTATCAGTGCCAGTCAGTGCCGCCTAACAGTACTGCCTTTCAGTGCCCATCAGTGATGCCTGCCAATGCCCATCAGTGCCACCTACCAGTGCCTCATCAGTGTAGCCTATCAGTGCCCATCACTGCAGCCTCCGTAGTGCACATCAGTGAAGGAGAAAAATCACTTATTTACAAAATTTTATAACAAAAACTAAGAAAAACTTTTTTTTTTTAAATTTTCAGTGGTTTTTGGTTTGTTTAAGAAAAAATAAAAAACTCAGAGGTGATTAAATACCACCAAAAGAAAGCTCTGTCACCAAAAAATGATAAAAATTTCATATGGGTAAAGTGTTGCATGACCGCGCAATTGTCATTCAAAATGTGACAGCGCTGAAACCTGGAAATTGGCCTGGGCAGGAAGGGGGTATAAGTGCCCTGTAGGCTTGTGGTTAATATTCAAAGCAAACTTGCCAATCCACCCCTAGCATTTCTGGCCATGGCAATCTTGAGTAAGGGCAGATGATTCATGTAGCATTTACGTTCTGGAATCCATCTGCCCTTAGCTTAGGCATGCAAGCAGGAGGGTATGCTTATTTGAGAAACTCCCCTCCTGAATACTCCTGGGATGTATTACATCATATGCCTAGGCCTGGAACCCAGGAAGTAACTGAAGAAAAAGAAAATTAAAACAAGTATATATGATATACTTTTCTTTCTATTTACAGGCAGCTTATAAATAGTCATTGTCATTGAGAGTGAAGTTCCCCTTTTTATGGAGTTATTTTAGTATCTATCCAACCAAATACATTGCATAGAACAAAACTAGTTGATAGAAAACATCATTTGTATATACAGTAGCATAACATAATGTTATTTTATTATAAAGGATACTGGGAAATATAGCAAGGGATGACAGTACAGAAATAGACATTCGTATATGGCATGTTCCTCTTTTGTTCCATTCTGGGCATGACTTGTAGGAGATAATAGACTGAAGCAAAATGTAGATGACACCAAACACAAATGTTACTAGGGCTCCTGTATCATGAACTTTCAGAACAGACGTCTCCTGAAAGAAATTGAAATGTACATAGTTACATGGTGTCTATACTGTGCTTTCTGACATCTTGCAGTGCAGCCATCTAAATGTACAGTAAAATAATACCTAAAGTGATTAATATATTAGAAATATATTGAGAAAATATTATTCTGGCTCCAACTGCTGTATGAGTGACTTATCGTATGTAAAGACCTCTATGCCTGGCCTGTATAGGCAGATACAATTACCACGGACAGTCTTTATCAGATAGCTGAACCCACCAAACACCTTTTAATCATCCAGGGAGATCTTATTGAATGTAGCAGGTTACAGTAGACAACACACAGAGGTGCCTGGGTAACATGGGGAAACATAGTGCACAGGGAGGTGATGGATGCAATGGAGGGGCGATTACTGGAATCAATCCCCTTTATGGTTCTCTCTGCAGCAGCTGAACACCAGCAGGAGGGAGAGGAGAAGAAGCCAATCTCCAGCTGCTGCAGAGAACCATGCAGGGGATTGGTTCCAGTAATTGCATTCCCACTGTGCCGATTACCCTCCCTACACACATCCAATTTATCCAGCTGCCTGGGCCCCCCTGCTGGCCTGGGCCCCGTACAGGATGATTGGTGGTACCCCCTTAATCACGGCCATGAAAAGGAACATTAATCATTACTATGTATTGTATTATATTTTTTATACAACAAGTGTAACAGCACAAATATATTGGGGAAATACTGTGAAGTCCTCATTTAAGACTGGTAGAGGGTGTTGCTTCTAAACTGTAGAAAAATATTAAGTCTTAGAAATGTTGAGTATTAAGTAGGAATAAATATAACACCAACACATACAGCAGAATTATATGGGACACATCAGGAGTGAACTATGGAAACTGCTATTGCCAGATTTGTTTTGAAAGTCTGTCATACTCCTCCTCAATTGACTACACTGTGTATCCATAATCTGGAAGAAATATGTACATATCAGATGTACTCATACTTCACAATGCAGGCTTGTTCCAGGACATGAATTCATAAATAGTGAAGTAAAGGAAAAGATGACAACCCTAAAATTATTCTCTGATTCTCTCAGTACGGGGATGTGGGGGCTTCTGTTGTTAACCTGAATTTGAAGTGCAAGGTCCAAGACTTCCATGTGTCTTCTTCACCACTAACCTGGCAAAATCCCTGCACCTGATATACACATGCTTGAGTAAATACTGGGAAAAGATGAGGATGGAAGCCACCAAGTCAGCAATGTCAGCTTCCCATAGGTTCCTTTTAAAATGTATTTAGCAATGGCTTCTACTATTTATCTATCCAGAAAGGTTCCCTCTAAATCTTCATACCCTTGTAATCCACTCCACAGTTGCAGCTCAAAAATGTATGGTACAGATCACATGTCCAAAGAAACATGTTACAATGCATGTACTAAAATGTATGTCAAGCTAAAAACATTTTATTGTGCAGTTCACAGGTTGGATATTCATAGACCATGAGTTAGGATGGTACTTTGAGGTGATTGGACACTGGAAAGCTTTGCTGGACACTCCCACCTGGACATACCACTATAACCCTACCCCACTGCTAGTGTCCCCTGCTAGTGCCCTAAGGTGATGGGCCTCCTCTCCTTTATGGGGAAATAATTTGCTTCATTAGTTTATTATTTTAGTTCAGATTCCTCAGTGACCTCTTCAATCAACTCCTCACTGTCTTCTAATTCAACAATAGAAGCAGTGTATCCAGATCAGCGCAACCTCAGTATAATCTTGGGAGATGCATCCAGACCCCACACTGTTGATTCAGGATCCTGCTTGTACCCTCACCTTGGTACTTAGTGTAACTTGTGTATTTAGCTGCAGGGTGTCATACATGTCCAGGGCCGTGGTTCATCCCTATGGAACCCAGACCCTGAAGACTGCTTCAGGGGTATGCCCACCATGACAGATGAAGTCTGGACCTGAGTAGAGACCAGTGACATACACAGGTAAGAGAGGTTTACCTTGTACTGGGCTGATACTGTAGCCTCATTTATTGCAGGTTTCCCGAAAAACATTTATTCCAAATTAAAACAGGAAACCATGAATTGTGTGTGAAAATTATTCACTTGTGTGGTGTTAAACTTTTAAAAATTGACTATAAAATTCCACCATTCAGAGCCTAGTTACGTGGATGACTGGATTAAGTGTTACATCAAACCACAGGTTGTACTTTTCCACCATTTCCACCTAGAGACCTTTATAAAGGTACTTTCTACTTCCCTTTTGCCATGAAAACCTCACTACAGGGTGACCCGGATTGCTGCATAGTCCTTTACAGACATGCTTACCCCAATTCTGCACCTCACACCAGGAGTACCCCATTAGTGGGAACCACCTGCAAATTACTTAAACCGCTCAGAGTGACGACACTTGCACTTGAGCAGGAACGTGTTTATAACATTGGTGTCTGCATTCAGTCATATTTCTCAAGCACACAAGAAGTGGCCAATCTCACCAAGGCAAATTTTTTGCCAACTATGGGGTCAACTTACTAAAGGCAAATAGACTGTGCACCTTGCAAGTGCAGCTGCTCCAGAGCTTAGTAACTAAGACAAATTCACACTTTGCAAAGAATACCTGATTGCATGCAAGGAAAATAAAAAAAAGCAGAAGTGGAGCTGCCTCTCATTTACTAAGCTCTGAAACAATTTCTCTTGCAAAGTGCACTTTCTTTTTGCATTAGTAAATCAACCCCTTTCTTTGAGCCCCTTCTCCAACACTGCTGTCTCTGCTGGAGTTAGAAAGTGAATTGCCTCCTTTCGAGAATGCAGACATTGAGGGGAATGACGGCAATGTTGGAGGAGGCAACAAAAGAATTCTCTCTCCCAGTTTCTCGTACACCTGATGTTCTGACTTTACACAATATGCTTGCCAATGCAGATATGCCCACTTTTGTCATGTGAAAAAGCCTTAGCGTTGTTGCACTTGATTCTCTTCCATTTTGCCATGCCTCCTTGGGTACTAAGAGACCTGCTAGGCCAAAAAAGACATTCCCCATTCATGAGCAAATAGAATGGGCAGTTGTTGATGATTGGGCTAACCCCAACAAGAATTATTGCTGAAATCTAGTGGAGAAAGAGTTCAAAAAAAGTGATCTGATCTGTTAGTAGATATTACTATCTCAGACTTAAACAAACAAACATATTACTGTGGCATTAGAATATTTCCTTAATTTAAAGATTCTGCTGACATTATATATATGACATATATGATATGGGGGTGCAGTAAAATAAGTCAGGGGGCATAATGTTAATAGTGGGGCAGAGATAAAGGGAACCAGTCATTAGACTAGTATGAATAAACAGAATCTGTGCCCCCTTTTATCCCTCCTCATCAGAGCCCCCCTTAAATCAGGTGTTCCCATCAGAGTGCCCCTTTACATCATCTGTCCTCATCAGAGTGCTTACTTATATCAATTGCCCCTCTCAGAGTGCCCCTCTACATTAATCGCCTCATCAGAATACCTCCTTACATCCACTGTCCCCAACAAAGTGCCTCCTTACATCAACTGCCTCCATCAGAGTGCCCCCTTTACAACAAAACAAGTGAAGAAATGTCACCAGCACACCAAGGATTCCTCCAATTGGGTTCAAAGCTTTTCTTTGTGGTCACACGATAAACACAATGTCAAAGTTTCAGAGCTACGCAAAAAAACATTGCCTTTGTGTTTATCATGTGACCACAAATTAAAGCTTTGGACCTGATTTGGGGAATCCTTGGTGTGCTGGTGACATTTGCTCACTTGGATTGTCTGCAGTTCCCAGTCTGTGGTCATTACAGCACCCAGTAATACTGAACAGCTATTTGCAGGAACGTGTGCATTGGGAATTCTGTGTTTTGGACCCTTACAACAAATGTCCCAATCAGAGTCCCCTCCTACATCAAATTTCTCCCACTTACAACAATTGCCCCATCAGAGTGTCCATTCACATCAAATGCCCCATCAGAATGTCACCATCACATCTCATGGATTAGTGGATGCACTCTCAGAGATCTGGGGTAGGGGGACAAAACTAAAATCTGGGGGGGACACAGCCCACCCCAGCCCCCCCTAGATCTGGGCCTGATGCTTTTAAAGGCCCTCTTTAACCTTGCAGGCCCAATTCTGCAGCCGGTTATTTCTACAATTTCTGTGTACCAGACTGCAGCTAATTGGACTAGGGCAATGAGCAACCAGCATGATCATGTCTTCCAGGATCACACCTTGGAGCATTCGCAGACACTGCTCTCTGCTCTACACCTTTCTGTGGATCCTCTAAAACAAGCCATTACACAGATCTCTAGAATGACTCTAATTTCTATCCATGTGCAGAATATTATGGATAAAAACCTGATTAACTGAAGTTGCTTGCAAATATCACCTCACATGTATGCCCTTTGAAGGAGGACATCAGGAGTACCTAGACAAGCTTCTTCTAATGGACTCATATCCTTTCAACTATCCGCAAACATCCAAAGGACTATTTAGATACTTCAGGTCTTTGGTTGGGCAATCATCTTTCAAAAGTCTTCTCTCCAACCTTCTCTTCGCCTAGAATACTTAGACCTTATTCTGAACATAGTCCAAACAAAAATCTTTCTTCCAGAAAACACATTTCTTTCTCTAAAATCTCATACTTGTATCTTAGGATTAAAAAGACACCCACTCAATTTTCTATGAGAGTTCTGGGTCTCATGCTGTTGACATTTTAGGCTGTACCCTTTGCTCAGTTGCATTCAAGGCAACATCTTGTTGGCCTGGAAAAAGTTTATTTTCTCAACCTCCCTATGCACCTCTCCAGCCAAGCAAAGAATTCCCTAGCTTAGTGGATTTTTAATCGAGCCTTAACAATGGGGAAGTCATTTCTGCCACACCCGTGGAGGGTAAAAACAGATGCCAGCCACTTGGGTTGGGAGGAGTGTTCTAATCCTTCATAGCTCAGGGAACATGGTCATCCAAGGAAGCCAAGCTCCCTATCAACATTATGGAGCTGAGAGCAATAAAACTAGC